AAAAACAGTTTTTATCCCGGATCTGATTTCTGTTTCTGTTTAAAAAACAATTTTCTAGTTATCTTTTCAGAGTTGTGTTGAAAAATCTGACCTTTTGATGTTTTTGTTTGGTAGAATATGGTGGAGGAGTTGAGTGGCCAGAGTCCGTGAGGTTAAGAGGCAGAGTCAAGAGACATCGAGATCGAGAGAGAGGAAGAGATTTTAGAGAGAGGGCCAGCAGGAGCAGAAGGAGAAGGGTGCACGATGAAACTTCAGAAGAGAGCCTGAGCGATGACGAGGATGACGATGGAGATGAAGCCACAGCCACCGCCGCCGGCAGATTGTTTCTGCCATCGCCGCCGTCGGGTTCTGTTTCCACCCACCACCATCTTCAGCTTCGAAGAAGTTTTCCACCTGGATTTTCTTCTTCGTCTACCTCCAAGGTTTTCGGAGCAACCCATGTTTGGAGGCCCAGTGACGAAATCATCGGCGTTACAGTTCCGAGAAAACCTCGCTCTGGTAAAAAAAAAAAAAAATCAGTCAAAATAGTCTCTTTATTTTTCTCAGCCAATTTTATCGAAGATTTGTTCTTTTCCCCAAAAATAAGGGTTCTTATTTTTGCAGCGAGTGCGAAGAGGTCACGCGATTGGAATTCAAGCAGAAACGACGGCAGCTGCGCCGGAGGAGCCGAGCAAATTCTCCGTCGAGCTTCCAGTTCTCCGGCTAGTCAGCCCGGCTGCGCTTCCACTTCAGCACCACCGCCGGCGGTTCCAATGTCTCCTCCTTCTTCCTCCAATTCTTTCTTTAAAAAGAAACTCGTTAGTTTTTATAAACTCTTTATGTATATATATTTATTTATTCAGATTTTCAGTTTTGCCGGTGTTTGTTAACTCCGGCAGGTTTGTATCCTGCAGAAGTCGGGTGGGAGTAATACGGAGCCGAAGCTAAAGCCACCCATGGCCACATCGTCGACTGGGCACGCTTCTTCGAGTGCCGCAGAGGATTTGGAGTTTGAGATTGCCGAGGTTTTATTCGGCCTGATGACTCGGTCGCAGGGCCCCTCGGAAAAAGACAAATCCGAAGAAGTTCAGAGATCCAAAGGAGATGTGAAATCAGCTTCGATCTCTGATTCCGGCTCGCTNATTAATTCTCGAGCAATAATGAAAAAATCATTTAATTTTTTTTAATAGGTGTTACTGTAGAAGCTCCGGCGAGGAAGAGGCTGAGGCCGGTGGCTGAGAAGACGGGTCAAATAGCCCGAATTGACCCGTCTGCCGCCGAGTTTGATATGGATCAGCCACCGGAGAGTGAGATTTTATCATCATCTGGTTCTGAGAAAGTCCGAGGATCTGCGAGTGGAAATGGATTAGATGGCAGGGGCAATTCGGTCAATTCAGATGGGCGGGAAGCTCAGGCTCAGCCACAAGATGTGAAGGAGAGAGAAAGTGGTGACGTGAAAAATGAGGATGACTTTTGCAGTGATTCCAGTTTGACAGCGACAGCTTCTTCATCAGTTGCTGATAGTATTACTGTTAAAACGTGAGTGAATAGAAAAAGATTTGGATATTTGATTTTTCTTTTTCTTTTTTATTTTTATTTATTTATTTATTTTTTATGTTGGCATGAAATTGTCATGTGAAGGTTTTTGTGATTTTGACTCAATTTGTGTGATTTTATTTAATTTTTATTTCCTTTTTTCCCTTTTTTCAAATGGATTTTCAGAAATTTATTGGTTTCCGAGGAGGGAACTCAAAGGGAGCAAAAGTTTGAATTTGATCTCATGGTGAGAGTGCTATTTGAATTTGTCATGATATAATTTTTTTATTTGTTTTTGGGAGTTCGTTTTGTTTTCTTTTTGTTTTTTGAATTTCTTGATCTGAAAATTTCATGCCCAATTTATTTCAGGCTCTGCCTCCACAAGCACGATCATCGTCTCCGGAAAGTTCTGCACCGTCCGATCAGCCACCTGATCCGACTCTATCGACAGCTCATGCAGTATGTAGCTACTGTGCTTTTATTTTGATTTTTAAATTAATGCATATTTTTTTTTATACCTTGTTTTTGATGAGTTGTACAGGAGTCAAAACCGATGGTATGTAAAGATGAGGAGAATTTGTTAGCTGAAGAAAAGAATATTAAAGGGACCAATGAAGAAACTGAATCGTGCAAGAAAATCGATTCTCAGCCGCAAGAAATAATGCCGGTTCAGATGAACAAAGAAGGCTCGGCCGCTGAGAAATCTGGTGAGTCGAATTTCAGTCAACGATTTGCTCAATTCCGAGAAATGTCATAATAATCTGATCTCTTGTACTATATTTGTTGATCTTCAAAATTTTATGCAAACGCTTTTGCCTTTATTTCCTTAATTCGATTTTCTTTATTCTTTTAGGTCAACCAGAAAGTCCTATATCTAGTGGTTGTGCCGATGGCCTTCTGTTCATTGGGTATCGACTGCTGATCACTAGTCTGTGCATTTGAGTAGGTTTGAAAATATAAGAAAAAATCTTTCATTAATTAAGCTTAATATCTCGATTTCCATCTGCAGACACATGGCACCTCCCAAGAACAGCACCACCGTATCACCTTCTTCCACACGGGTTCGTTTTTTTCGTTGTTGATAATTTCCATTTTGTTGGGTTTTTTTTTTTAATTTTTTTTCCCTTTTGGTCTCACATTATTGGGCCTTATTGAATGGAATTTTGCAGCGATTGATAACTCTGCCGAGCTTGAAAAGGTGCGCGAGGCATTTCCTGATTGCAAGGAACATTGAACGCCATCAGAAGCTGATGAAGATGGATCCTTCTAGAAACCGGGCAGATAAAGGTCTTGCTAGAACTCCCGATCATGTTGTGAAGGAGAAAGGAGGCTCTCAAATCGTGACATCTTCTAATGTTGTTGAAAACAAGAAGCAACTTGTGATTCAGAATCAGAAATCGACTTTGGTTGGTGCTAGTAATTTACTCGTATGTTTTATTTGCTCACAATTTTTTTTTTTTTTTCTTGGGTACCTTCACAAACGCGTATAAAGAAAAAGTGATTATCGGCCTTTTCTACTACTAACTACTACTATATTTGGTTCGATGTCGATAGAACAGAGAATAGGATCTTTATCTTGTAGATTTCTTTCACGTGAATTTCTACCGGCACACATGTTTTTACAATCGTATTATATTTGTCTAATTTTATTAAGAACGCAAATTAAAAGGGGGAGAGGTAGACCTAAGAAAACTTGGAAGGAAACAATTAAAAATGATTTAAAAATATTCAAATTTGAATGAGGATATGTGTTTTGATCGAGCACGATGGCGACATGTGATCCATATAATCGACCCCACTTACTGGGATTTTAACGGCTTGTTGTTGTTGTATTTTATTGTTTTTCTTAAAAGTAGAAGCTGTAGAGGGACATTGCATTACAAGTTGAATTCTTCTTTTCCAGTGACTTTTAACTTTTAAACACATTCAGTTCTCAGTTTTGGTTTGACAAATACTATCTTACCTTGTGTTTATCAATGTCTGTTGTTCAACTTTTCAGTTTCTATCTTGCAAAAACACCAATCCTTGATTCTCAACTAACTTTT